AAACTGATGACTTTTAGCTGTACTTCTTTGCTAAGTTTTCATATATAGCTATTAGCACCACAATTTCTGAAAATGTTTTTTTTTATAGGCAGAGTGCTGATTAGGCAATATTGTGAAACACTCTAGTATATATATATATATATATATATATATATATTTTAAGGAACAATTATAACAAAGTGGAAATAGTTTTCATGTGATGTGTTTTCCTCCTTTAGGACTTCATTGGACTAATCTGATGTTTATGTAAATGTGACTACACATGCGCTCGAATGGGAGGGGACAATGAAAATTTAAAAAAATTTTTTTTTTTTTTTGTTTTTGTTTTTTTACAAATCTGTTTTCCATATATAGTCTAGCTGATATCATTTCTTTTTCTTTTTGTTTCCATCACCTTTGTTATTAAATATCCCACATTGTGATAATAGAAGATCTGCCAAGTAAGGTGATATGTTGCAAGAACCTGGATGTAAATTTACTGTGGCTGATCTAGAGCACTTTCTACACATATTCGTCTTGGTAAATTGCTTTTCTTTTAATTAGAGTAGCGTTTTTTTAATATCAAAATTATGGTCTGACTCATTACGGTGATGAACTAACACATTGAGTGTGTTGTTTTGTAAAATATCCTTTTGGTATTCATATAATCCTTTATTTAAATTTCTTGAAGTTTCTCCTGTGTATTCCTTGTGGCAATCATTACAGGTGATAAAGTGTATTTCTCCTTCAAATTTGAGCTTATTATTTTGTTTTGTATTAAGTCTTTTATTGTTTTAGAAGTAGTTGTAACAAATTTTATGTTAAGCTTAGATAAATTTTTAAAATTTCCCTGAAATTGATCTTGATATATTAAAAAAACTATATTAAAAAAAACATTTTCATATATGACTTAGGATTTTGTTGCTTTCAGATAAACAAAAATAAAATTTTAAAATGTATGAAAAGTTTAATTTGGAAAGAATAAATATATTGTTGATTGTATGGAAGTTAAATACTTGTAAATGTTCGTTTTGTATAAATTATCAGATAATCGGTTTCAAACAGACAGGCTGTTCCGTCTCCCCTGTCAATAACTGACCCATTTTATTCTAAAGATTTAATTCATGTGTTTATACCGATAATTCTTGTGATCGGTATGTCTGGGTTAGATTTGTTTTTGTTGCCTTCAGATTTTTTTTTTTTTTCTTTTTTAAATAAATTTCATATTTGCCTTACTTTTTAAAGGCACACCAAAAATTCTTTGAATTTATTCGTCAAATTTTATACCTGAGCTTTCCTTGTGAATATTAAACCAGAATCTTTATTTTATTTTTTTTTTTTGTCTGAGTTTCTAAGATGAGGTGATGTTATTATCTAAACATTGATGCTTTTGGACAAGTTTCTTTATCTCTACCCCAATATTTTAACCAATGCACATAGCCTTCTGTGAAGATTACAAAATGCAAATATACACTCACAGAACACCGATGAATAGCTGAAATATCATGGGAAAGATGACAGAAGAAAACTAGTTTGAAAGAATCAATGTCTACTTCTCAATGAACAAATGCAAAAAAAAAAAAAATGTAAAAGACCATCTTCTATGGTCATATACAATTTTATTTTCTTTTAAAACAAAATAGCTTTTTAGTTTGTAGCATGATGTTATAACTGCATGGGTGAAAGTAGACAAAATTTTAAAAGATGTACAAATGTAGACTACCAGTGTGGGAAATTAATGATGCTTGATGTATCCTTTTTGGCGGAAGTGTGTTTGCTAATGGTTCATTTCTGTGAGATATCGGCAAGACTGCAGCCGAAAAGAAATTAGTCTGAGAAAATCTTCTGTACATAGATAGAATGAAAGTATATTGACACAGCCCTTTGTTTGATTTCTCTCAATCTTTTTATCTACGTTGGCTATTTCAATCAAGCCTACTTTTTATTGGGAATTAATCAAAATTGATGTCAGGTAACCTCAATTTCATAACCCTGAAGTTTTATATCTTGCACCCTGTGTCTTTGAAGCATTACTGAATTCTATTTAAAAAGGTGGAAGAGGATTGCCATATTGAGCTATCAGTAGCAAATTGGTCTCCATTTGAAATCCCTATTAAATTTAGAAAATATTTACATCCCAGCACTATTAAATTTTGAAAATTTTAGCCCTATTAAATTTTTTAATTGACTTTTTATTTTATTTTTAGTAACTGTCTGACTTAGTTCATCTTACTTTAAAAGTAACTCAGAAAATTGCAGCTTTCACTTAAAAAATGCTAAATTTAGCAATACCAGGCTTTCACTCGTAACTCAATTTGGCATCCCTTGACAGAGGGGAGGGCTATAAACTTGTTTAAAAGTTATTTGATTTTGCCCCCCCATTCTCCTCTTTTTGATAATTATCATTCAAAGAAATTTTTTTTTTTCTTTTGCAATAATATTTTTCCCCCTAGTATTTCAAAACTGATCATAAACTTCCTCTCCTATATAATATATGAGAATTACACTCCTGTTTTATATTGAACATTAACCTTTACTAACTTTTTTAAAATAAATGTTTTGACTTATTTCCAAATATGAATATGGGTGATCTTGGCATTTATTCTAAGACGTTCTTGTGAATAAGTTTGTTTCACTTCCAATCAACTTCTCAAGAACAGTCTTTCAGCCTCCAATTATATGTGAATTTAAGCAAGGAGCAGTGTCTGCATACTTTTGAAATGTCCCTGTATTATTGTGCAATGTGTAATTCATTATAACAGTAAATTAAATCATATGAAGGAAAAAACTTGACTAAAAAATTAAATTGTTATTTAATATTTATTTGCACTCAGTGTCTTCTACATTTAACAAAAAATCACTACAGAGGTGAGTTATCTTGAGTCTTGCCCATTTTATATTCAAGTTTTTATATATCTTTGTATATTTCAGTTATTTTGTGTACTGTTTTTTTTTTTTTCTGATAATGTTACATATTGTTGATATTTGTGCATAAATGCTCTTGATGTGAATATAAAAGTAGGTCGTTAGCCTAATTTAATGTACAGTGTTTTTATATTTGCCCTTATCAAGAAAATTGATCAGGATTTTTTTTTTTTTTCAAAAATTTAAAAAAGCTACTATTTTATCAACTACTATAATTTATTTCCGAGTTCCAATAATTCCCTAGCATGTCTCGTTACATATTTTCAAAGTCCAGTCTCTTCAAGTTGTTGTTGTTGTTGTTTTTTAACCCCCACCTCTTAGATATTAAAACATCATAATTCTCTCGGGTAATTTCTAATTTTTATTTTACAATTTCAATAGCATGTTCATATTGCTTTTACGCCATTTATACTTCCAGTGCTATGAATATGTATGAAATATAGCATTAAAATCAAATAACATTTACATTCTTCCCTAGCCCAGCTTTGTACAACATATACACAAATTTCTTGCAAGTATTTCGGTCTATTTTTTTATAAGTTTATTTTGACTCAGACCATGATGGAGCAAATTCCAATAATTTCTACATAGTTCCATTTCAATTGTTAACCACAAATTCACTCTGCAGTAGTCAAATGTTTTTCTTTTTTTTATAATCTAATTTGTTTTTATTGACCTTTATGCAAAATGTTACTTTTCTTAAGATAATATGTAACATTTCTGCAAACATTTTTAAAAGTCTAAAAAAAAGAAGTTTTACTAGATAGCGCAGCTACATGATCTTTCTGAAATTAGAATTCATGATATATTCAGTAGATGTTGTTGTCTGTGTTTAAACAAAGACAGTACGCTGACAGACATGTATATACATGTAAAAATATTGGTCGAAAACGCAATTCAGACAATCGTATATCAATGTTACAGGTTCATAATCAGTCTCGAAAAATATTAACTTGCATGATCATGTCCATGCATGTCAAGACACATTGCAGGGTTTGTAGCTCCCTGCAGGTGCAGCTTGGATTGTGCACAAGACCAATCTGGTGAATGAAAGCTTTGTATCACCCATATACCAAATGGAGGCGATTCAGCTTGAACTCACTGTAGATCATGGCCTGGTTGATGAGGTTATACATCAGGGATGAACAATTTTAATTGGTTGTCATTGTTCGTCTATCTTGATTACCATACATTGTTTGCCCATTTTTCAGAGGATAAACCAGCAGCTTGTTCAGCAAGAGACCACCTGTAGTCATTGTTGTGTTTTAGAAAGATCTAAAAGTCTAATAATCTATAAATTTTCATGACACAGTTTGCTTATGACTATATCATGTTGAAACACTGGTTTCTGTACAATTACCAAAGTTAATCAACATCGAGCCTGGCCAGTACATAGATGGGTGACCTCTTGGGAATACCAAGTGCTATAAACTTGGATGTACAGGTGGTGTAATGGATAATGGCTCAGAATTGTTAATCCAAGAACTAAGTTCCAATTCCCATTGGGTTTGTTATATTCAATTATACACAAATACTATTGGTAAATGTATGAATCTACCTCTTCTCTCCTCCAGCTATGGGTTAATTAGTGTGACTTCTATCACAAAACCATTATTATCTCAAAAAAATATCCTTACAATCTAAAAATATTTTCTGGCTTTAAATAACTATATCTGGGTTGATAAGCTGTAGAATAATGAATCAGTCAATCAAAATAGGGCAGTTCTTATGTTCAGTTTAACCCATTAATGCTCACTATACCAAAAATGAGACTGTCGGCTGAAATGGGTTGTTAGTAAAAATTTATTATTAATACTGGATTTTATTTTTATTAATACATTATTTTTATCTTGTTTTCTATGACTTATCAACCTCTTGCAGGTTATTTAAAGGCAGAAAATATTTTTAGATTGTAAGATTATTTTTTTCTGATAACAATGGTTTAGAGATACACATATTACTAATTAACCCATAGCTGGGGGAAAAGAGGTGGATTCATACCTTTCCCGATATAACAAAAGCAACAGGAATTGGAACTCAATTCTCTGATTAACAATTCCAAGCCATTATACATTACACCACACATATATCCAAGCTTTCAACATCTGGTATTCTCAAGTAGTCACCCATCTTGGTACTGACCAGGTTTGATGTTGCTTAACTTTAGTGATCAGAGGGTAACCAGTGTTTCAACATGATGTGGCTGTAAGCTTGAATTGTTATAACTAATACCAGATTTTATAGTGAGCTTAAATTGGTTCGTACAGTAAATATTTTTCTTACTTTTAAATATTATGGAAGAAAGATATAAGTTCTGCACTGAGCAATGAACGTCAGCCTTAATATAAACAAAAGTTCAACAGCATCTAAATTGCAATCAGCAATAAAAGTATAATTTTGTAATATTCTTTTTCGAGCATTCATTACATAAAAATTCAATCTAATTTTTAATTTCTGCGATTTTTTTTTTTTTTTTTTTTTTTTTCCCTGCAATTTTTAGAATGATATTTTTATACTAGCAGAATAATAATTTCATAATAATTAGGGAGCATGCATAATAACAAACTTGTAACTTATGGTTAATCTGTTTGAGAATTTGCTCTGTCACGTATGTCTTTCAAGTGTTCCACTGTTTTTGTTTTTTTTTTTTTTTTTTTTTTTTTTCATTTGTTGATGCAGTGTTTTACAAATGCTCAGCTATAAGCAATACATACAATATGATCTGAATATATCTTTCCGTTCTCTTTTCATTTGTTGATGCAATGTTCGAGAAGTATGTACACAGTGCAGGCAAAGAAAATTGGTCTCACATTTGAAATGATAGATTTTATGAATATTTTCATGTCTCTCTGATAATTTTTTTTTTTTTTCTTGAGTGCATTTTGATTTTTATTCCTGACTGTTTTTTTTTGTTTTTTTTTTTCTAATGTAAGAAGTGAACAGCTTTGAGTATGTAACCGACTTTGTGTTCTATATGCATAAGCTAAGGCAGTCCAAATGTGATTATCAGTCAAAATGTATATGCTCATCTCCACTGCCATTGCTTTAATAGCAACAACGGTTGGAGATAATAAAACACATATAAAAGCCATTTTGATGTTTTGTTGTTATTTTCTTGTTCAGTTTTTGCATGAGAATTCAAAACACCTTGCTAAACTTCTTAATTCACTGTCATCTCTTGATTAAACTAAGTATGGCACAAGGCTGCTTATGTAAATAATCAGCATTAGAAACACAAATTTATTACATGGGCTCTAAATGCCGACTTTTTGATATTTACTAAGTTTATATTAGTATAAGACAGTCCGCTATGTAGGGACTTCATACCTATACTAGAAAATCAACATTTAAAATTCAAACATTTGACCTCTGGCACCTATGAGAAATATGCAACTACTTCAGCCATAGAAATTTTCAGATTTTACTTTATATTTTTAATGAATTTAAAATAGTTATTTTTCTTTTTTTTTAATCTAATCAGAAATTATAAAATTATAAGTCAAGTTTAACTGATATCCTCCTAGTGTCAGTTTAAACTGACACCTTATTTTTTATAAATTGTAACCATTTTGCATAAGGTTTGTATTTTCTTAATTTCAGACAAAAACTTTAATTTTTTTTTAACATATTTCAATGAAATTTTTATTTTCCAAAATTATAGTTAATTTTATCAATGACCTTCTTGATGGCATCACTCCTTAATGTTTCTCTTTTTTCTTATTCTTTTACACTCAGTAACCTCTCCTATCTTAGAGGCTTTACTCCTTTGCTTATTTGAAAATACAAAAAAAAGGTGTAAGCAGCATTGAAATTGGAAAAATTGAGTGATTTCAACTTCCTGCTGCATTCACTTGCTTCACAAATTCCCTTTAGAAAAGCAGGAAACCATCTCTTCTCCCACCAGCTATGGGTTAAATAATAGGGTAAACAGGGCTCTTTAGCCTTGAGTGGTAACCAGTTTAAGAGAACTAAAACTCTGAATTCCAAATGCTGGAGAAGTCAACAAGAAACCACTATCTTTCTCCAAAAGGCTCAATAATTCTGATAATAAATCAAAAGGAATCTGGAGAGTCATGAAAGCCTACAACCCTGAAGGACTATGTTATCAAAAACATATTATGGTTTAAATCCATGGACAAAAGAAAGGATCAGTTTAAATTGACACCAGGAGGATATGGTTTTAGAGAAAATTCTTACCTTAATTTTTAACACTAAAATTGCCCTTTTAACGATTGTGTACAAAGTGATTATTATTATTATTTCTTTCTAAGTTTATTTATTTTTCAGCCAAGCCTCAACCTACCCCCCCCCACACCTCAAGTTATTCAATCAGTTATGTTCCATGCGTGATACACGCTTAGGCGATCATGTATTTTTCAATACATGACTGACAAGGCAGATTTTTTTTTCTGAAGTAGGTTGACATTTCTTTTTGCAGTAGACCAGTTGCCATCCAAGGCTATAGAACACTGTCTGTCCTGCTATTTATCCATAGCTGGTGGGAGGAGAAGAGGATTCGTACCTTTTCCAAGGGTATTAGCATGTAAGTGAATGTAACGGATTTGACTGGATTTTGAATTCGGCTCTTTGATTCCTCAATCTGAGCTGCTATCCATTACTCCACCATGCCTCCTCCTACTTATTACTACTTGTTACTCAAATCTTTATCCTATATTGTTTTACAATATAATAGACAGATGTTATCCCTACCTGTAAAAAATTCTATTGCCTCTTATATAGCAATGATGATACTAGAAATTTTGTCTTATACTGCAGGGTCTAAAGACCTAGTGCAGTCATTATTTGTATATTGGTTGTATTATAGCAAACACAAAAATGATACTGCAAACCTATATGGCAGTGAATGCTGGACAATTTCCTCACAGATGAAGAGGAGACTTGAAGCTAGAAAGATGTGGTTCTATAGAAGGATGCTGAGAATACAAAGAAAAGAGTGCTTAACTGCTATGTAATATCAATCCTCCTGTATGGCAGTGAATGCTGGACAATCTCCTCACAGATGAAGAGGAGACTTGAGGCTACAGAGATGTGGTTCTATAGAAGTATGCTGAGAATACAAAGAAAAGAGTGCTTAACTCATTATGTAATATCAATCCTCCTATATGGCAGTGAATGCTGGACAATCTCCTCACAGATGAAGAGGAGACTTGAGGCTACAGAGATGTGGTTCTATAGAAGGATGCTGAGAATACAAAGAAAAGTGTGCTTAACTGCTATGTAATATCAATCCTCCTATATGGCAGTGAATGCTGAAACAATCTCCTCACAGATGAAGAGGAGACTTGAGGCTACAGAGATGTGGTTCTATAGAAGGATGCTGAGAATACAAAAAAAGTGTGCTTAATTGCTATGTAATATCAATCCTTTATCCTAGTGAAATAATAGTGGATGATGAAAATCTCATCACAGATGAATAGACTTGAGGCTGCAGAGAAAAATCTAAGCAGAATAGAAGAAACAGCAAAGAATATAAAGAAAAAGAGTTCTTAACTGTTATGTAATATCAATCCTTCTATATGGCAGTGAATGCTGACACCTCACAGATGACAGATGAAGAGGAGACTTGAGTTTACAGAGATGCTTTTACCATAGAAGAAATCTTTTGAGAATGAACAAAGAAAAGTGCAAAAAGGTGCTTATAATGCTATGTAATGTTCAAAACTTCAGGGCATATAATGCAGAATGGATGATTGGAGAATGTGACACCCACAGATGATGCTCAAGGAGAGAGACAATCTACCAAGGCTGCAGGAGATGTGGTTCAAAGGATAGGAAGGATGCATGAGAACCCATGTCAAAGAAACATGACCATGGGAGAGTTATTGAATTAACCAGATTAAATGATGTTTGTCTTCAGAAGGCATTCCGGGAAGAAATCTTCAAGAAATTTTTTTGGATGAAAATCCATGTTTGGATGATGGGCCCAGATCAATTGTAGTATCTGTACTCCTCATTTTCAATGAGAAAAGACTTGAGGGTTTCCAAGAGCAGCATCTTGTTGGTTCTATAAAAGGATGCTGAGAAATATCAAAAGAAAAAATACAAAATTTTTGTCCTTGGCTATATGTATCACATTTCCTCCATTTTTAATAAAAAAAATTTTGTGTCATGTCAAACCTTTGTGGGTTGTCAAATAAAATTTTCTTATAGAGATGTGAACTAAAAAGACAAGCATGCTGAGAATAAAAAGAAATTTGTGTATTACCTCTTTTAAGATAAAATATTTTCCTCCAAAAAAAATTTTTTTGGATCATCTTGATAGGTCTGACTCAAACATTCCATCTTCTTTGGATTCTTCTGACAAAATAATTGCATTTTTTTTTCTTGGTTCTATAGAAGGATGCTGAGACCACAATGAGAAGACAAAAGATTATCATTCTATCAATGCTTTATCATCATACTTATTATAAAACCCAGGTTGTGTGTGTGTGTCTGTTCGTTTATATATTGGATCGGATTTCCTACATTTTTCAACCAATTTCAACAAAACTTCACAGGACTACGTAAAATTATCTTGTGGTGGTTCTGACAGCACCAAAAATTGGAAAAACACAATTGTTTTGCATGAAATCAATTTGAAAACACGATTAAGAGGCATGCTGTCACCAGAATGAAAGGGGGACAACTCATATCGAGTTATACTTATTATAAAAAACCCAGGTTGTTTGTGTGTGTGTGTGTGTTCATTTATATATGGGATCGGATTTCCTACATTTTTCAACCAATTTTTTCAACAAAACTTCACTTTTTTTTTGGCAGGTAGTGTTTCTTATTGTCTTGCACACTTTTTTTTTCTTTATTTTACATTCAGAATGCTTTAAAAATTCCATTTACAAGACAATTGTTTATAAGAAATTCTTCAATCGGTAGACTCATAAAATTGAAAACAATGTTTTTGTTTGAGTTTAGGTTTGACCAATTCAAAAAAAAAAAAAAAAAAAACTAATTAAGACATGAATGTCCGTCAACCTTAAACAATAATCTTTGTCAATTTTATTTTTCAGTCTTTATGATGGTCGATACTTGATCTATCTCTTACTGTTACATGCCGGGCTCTCTACTAGCTAGTTAATATATTTTCATTGATTCTTTTGGTTTTTTGAAAATTGTGCATTAACAATGAAAGATATAATAGTTTATTTTTAATTATATTGGCAAATGAATAACAAAAATGCAAACATTCAGTATAACAGATTAAAGAGGATCCTTGAAAAATGATGATTTTTTTTAAGGAGGCCTTTTTCCTTTGAATGCCAAAGAATTTTGCTTTGAAACTAAAGATCTGAATATTAATCATATTATGTTGAAAATAAGTTATGGACAATCACCAAATAAACAATGGCTCACAGATTGTACCTAGATGGGTGACCATGATTTCTTGATCCTGTAGGAGATGATGTTTATAGAAGGATGCTGAGCTCAGAATTGTAAAGAAAAGTTCCACTTCATTCAAATTCATTATATTCACTTATACAAATAGTTTTAAAAAGGTATAATGGCAGATCTCCAAATCTATTTTAAAATTCCTCTGAAATCTGAAGTCACATTGATATTTTGAAGATAATTTTAAAAAAAAAAATTTTTGAATATTAAAAACAATCATTTTGAACTGTTTTCTGTTTAAGAAACAATATATATATATATGTTTATATTATATATAATATATATATTATATATATATAAATATATATACTGCTGGATATTCATATATGAAGAAGATAAAATTTGGCAACAGATCAATTCTATGGACCAGACAAATTGGTAAAAAAAATACAATAGGAAAAATATGGATTTTTAAAAAAAATTTGAGTAATGAAGTTTTAGAAAAGGCAAAAAATGAATAAAAATGTCTTTTTTTTATGTTAAATTAAAAAATTAGCAAAAGAGGCAATTGAAGCCTTTTTTCTGGTTAATGTAAATTTCCTTTATACTAATATTTTTGGAAAATATAGTTAAATTCTTTTAGAAATGTGGACAAGACAAACCTGTATAAAATATTTTGGAAAAAAAGTTCAATAAAGACAATCACCTACCAAATCAACATTTTTTTTTTCAATTGTCAGGACTGGGCATAAAGGAAAATAATATATATATATAAAGGATATATAATATTTCTGGAGTCATTTCTGTTATTAAGCAACCATACTGTGATAATGGATCATTTCTAAGAAGGAATTTATGGATAATCTATAATCAAAACCTTTTATACATCTTCACCTTAAATTGCTTTTTTCATTTAATTAAAGAAAACTTTTTGATTATTGATTGCTCACTAGTCTTAAGAAGAAAAATTGTTTTGTAAAAGGTCTTTTATTCATAAAATTTTTTTGGATGAAAAAATTATGTATTACTTATATGGCATTTGGAATTAAATTGCATAAGTAGATCCAGATTTTTTCCATATATAGTTTTATTTTAACATTTACAATGGAGAAAAGGCCAAAAACTTTTTTAGGGTATCTGACCATCAGCATAAATAATTGCATATGATCTTTGTTGAACCAAATAGCACATGTATCATAAAAATGATCAAGAAAAAATGGGGAGTGAAATATCAGGCTATTAAATAATTGGGCAATTTTCCTCAACTTATAAAATAAAATTTGAAATGCCCTGATATGGTTTAAACTCATAAATTCAACAGAACTAAATAGGCATCTAAGCATGGAATAATGCTAGTGAGGCCGGTCTGGTCTGCTGTGTAGTGAGTTTGATCCTCACTGTGTGCCTCATATAAAATCTTACATAATCCAACAAAAGTGCTGAGAAACAAAAATATTTTGTTAGCAATCCAGCTCTCTTTTCTTTGTTTCTATGTGATATCCATCCTCTTATATGACAGTGAATGGTGGGCAATCTCCCCACAGATGTGTAGAAAACTGGAGGCGACAGAACTGAGATTCTACTGTAGGATACTGAGACTTCTATGGTTGGAGTTTGTCAGCATCAAGGAAGTCTTAAAGAAAAAAAGGCAACAAAAAGAACACAAACTCAGTAAAGTGAGAGATGAAATTCCTTGCATAGAAACTGAGGAAGGCCAACTTAGAAAATTTAATCCTCACAGGACATATTGAATGCTGGAGAGGTATGGGAAAACTGAGCCACCTAACTGATGAGATTAGAACTAAAAATTCCCCCAAAGGGGAAATGAAACACATCTTGTCTCCATGGCATTCTGTAGGTAAAGACAGAAAAATGAATCTGTCTATATTTCTGAGATGAGGTATTATGTACATTATTTACAATATTCGGACTATTGTCCTCATCTTTGTCACCATATTTATCATGATGTTTCGGCCGTTGTACACTCCGGCCTTCTTCAGGTGGTTGGAATGTCGAACTGAACCCTTTATTTCGCTCACTTGGGTAGACATGACTAAAGACTGTGTGTACGCTATCCCGTGCAGCTGCGGAAAGGAATATAAAGGAGAGACAGGCCGCCCCCTCAAGGTAAGGCTTCAAGAACACCAAAAAGCTGTAACACGAGGGGAAGTAGAAAAATCGGGCGTGGCTGACCACATATGGAGAGAGAAAGGAGATCACCACCCTCTGTGGGATCATGTTGAGATCATAGACAGGGAACACCATTGGAAAATTCGTAAACTTAAGGAATCAGTACATATGCTAGGCCACAAAAATCTCCTATCATCCATCATCCATGGCACGTGGAACGTTGTGATAAATATGAGGACAATAGAAAAATGGATGTTAGAACTAAGGGCAGGAGCTTTAGCAAAGAAAGAAAAACTGCAAAGGGATAAAAATTGCCCACATCCTGAAGGAACACTACATAAAAGTAATAGTAGTTTGTACATGTACACTGTGGTTTGACTTATAGTTTTGTTATTATATTACTTTCAATAATAGTATTTTATGATCTGTTTTAAACAGAATTTGCATATTGTAATAATGATTTGAACATTAATATTAACCAGTGTAGAAAGAAAACTAGAGAAAAGTGTATGAGGTGAGTAGTTTAATTCCCAGAATGACTCTATGAAATCACTTTGCTTACCTTGGTACAAGAGGCTGCTGTCACTTTCAAAGTACTCTTCTTTATGAAGTGATGCAGTGTGTCAGACAACAAAGCCATTGCTGGAAACATTCTTGGAACTCGTTTTCTAGAATAGCTCTCAGGAGTATAATCACATGTTGCTGGATGTCAGTAAAATTTTGTTTCTTTCAGGGCATTTTGGAAATAGCCATAAAAAGATACCATATATTGAGTATTCCATAAACTTTGAAAAGCCTTCTGAAGAGGTTGAAAAACAAAGCACTTTTGAGAGACACACACATTTAAAAGTTCAGAATATTCAGAAGACAGATTATTATAAAGCTGAAGAACCGCCTAAACATTTTTTTAAAAATTGAGAAAACTATCCCACAAATTGGAGATACCAAAATAAGTATATTAATGTAAATATCTAGAAAAAGTTTTTTTAACAAAAGTGGACAAAAAATTAAAAAGAGTTTCAACCTTCCTCCAAAAGGCATTGACTCATGGAATGGGATCATCATTTTAAAGGCACAAAAGGTGTGCCTTTTTCTACTGGGATAGCAAAAACCTTCTAAATTGAAACAAAGAAAAGAAACACAAAATTTTAGAAGAAAAAAAAAAAGAGTACTGAAATGTTATGTAATATCAGTCCTTCTATATGCCAGTGAATGAAGAGGAGGCTTGAAAAAAAGTAAGAGAAATGTGATTCTACAAAAGAATGCTGAGAATACCATAGACTAAACATGTGAGAAATGACAAAGTTTTAAAGAAAATGAAAACAAAAAAGGATATTTATACTTAGCATCAGAAAGAGACTTGAAATTTCTTAGGCACATAATGTAGAAAGAGTGTTTGGAAAGTTTGACACTCACAGGACATATTCAAGGCAAGATTCATTTTGATTGATTTGATTTTTACAGCTTATCAACCTGTTGGATGTAATTTAAAGCCAGAAAATATTTTTAGATTGTAAGAGTTTCTTTTTTGAGATAATAATGATTTAGTGATACAAGTCTTACTAATTAACCCATAGCTGGGGGAAAAGAGGTGGATTCATACCTTTTCCAAAAGTAAGTGAATATAACGAAACCAACACCACCTGCACATCCAAGCTTACAGCACCTAGTATTCCTAAGCAGTCACCCATCTTGGTACTGAACTGACTCAATGTTGCTTAACTTTGGTGATCATATAGGAACTGGTGTTTTCACTTTGAAGGCAAGAGAGACAGATGAAAACCATACATATAACCTACCTGGTGAGCTTGATTGAGTGAATGGAAGGTGGACCAGGCTTTGGAAGAGATAGCAAAAAGACAGAATTTATTGAGAGCTGCAAAGGACAGGAAACTGTGGAGAGCCATGATTGCCAACATCCTAAAGGGCCATGGCACACAGAAGAAGAAATCTATCCCTACAAATTAGACAATATGCACTTTTTGTTAATAACAGCTCTATTATTAACAGCTGAAAAGTAAGCATTTTCATAAGAAAGAAATTGTGTATATAATAAAATTACCTTTCAATTTTCTTCACACAAAATATCCAATTACAAAATTAAGCCACATATTTAAATAATATATATGTACACAGTTTTCCTATTTGAATTTTCTGAGGAATCTTAATTCTTCAGTCAATGATTGAATAAGCTCATGGCGAGTTCTACACCTATAAAATATCCACAGAAATTCCCCTGTCACATTGTTAAATATTTGAGCTTACCAGCTTTAACAAAACATTGCAATAACAATCAAAATATGAAAGCTGGCCGTTATTTAAAGAAGTAAGTGGGTACAAATCAAAAGATTTGATATTGACAACTTTTCCATTTCACTGAAACAGACATTAAACACTTCTATCTTTAAATCTTTATTCTTTCTTTCATTCTCTCACTGAAATTGAGCAGTGTCTCTGATATGTCTTTTCCATCTTTCCATGCAAGCAAAACAGAATAATCCAATATTTATGCAGTATTGACAGGACATAACATATAAGGGGTGTTTCAAAAAGAATATGCCAAAATCATTACGCTGTTTTTTCAGGTCGGTATTTATCTATCCACCCACGAGGATAGAATGTGGCACAAGGCTGGTTTAAAGTGGGTATCTCCGAGCCTGTAGGCTCGGCCAAAAATATAGCCTTTTTGAACCCGCCTAGACGGGTTCAAGGCCTGTCTACCTCCCCGGACGAAACCTTGCCCTTCGGCAAAGCCTCGTCCGGGTTCCTCTCTGCTAAAGCAGAGAGTTCGACAGATGAACGCAAGATTGACATGAATCCTACTATTCGTTTTTCAGGTCTGTAGCATTGTAGTGGACTGAATCAGTGGTTATTTGATAGAGTAATTATCAAAGTTTGATTGGGTGTCAGTTTCACCGCTGTCGTTAGTATAACTTCCGGTGCAGCTGAATTGTGGGAAGATCAATCAAAATGGCGACTCCTCAGTTCTTTTTTTTGCGTGTTTGAGTTCGCGAAAACAAACGCCATTGTCACACTGCAGCGTGCTTTCAGAACAGAATTCAGCATTGATCTGCCCCATTGTGAGAGCATTCGATGGTGGGTTAGACAGTTTAAAGAGAGGTGGGTGCCTATGCAAAGGAAAGAGTCCTGGAAGACCACGTGTTGCAGAGGAGCAAGTGGAGAGGATTCATGATGCATTTGAGAGCAGACCACGTGAAGTCCGTGACGTCGAGCAACTCTTCAGCTTGCCATCCCTCATACCACTGTCTGGCGTGTGTTAAAGAGACTTTTACATGAAACCATACAAACTAAGCCTCGTCCAAGCACTTACTAATGATGACAAGGTGATCGGAGGACATTCCATGAGTCAATGCTGGAGATGGAGGAAGGTGATGAAACTCTCTTTTCGCATTTAGTTTTTTTTAGTGACGGTTAATTTCCATTTGAGAGGCACAGTCAATTATGACAATGTCTATATTGGGGAACAGAGCACCCACATGAAACTGTTGAGCATGAAAGAGATTCCCTAAAGTGAACATCTTCTGTGCTGTGTCTCAAGACAAGGTCTATGGTCCCTTTTTCTTTGAAGGAAACACCGTTACAGGACAAACCTATCTCGAAATGCTCCAAAACTGGCTATTCACTTTACTGCAAGCAGATTCGAATGACTTCATTTTTCAGCAAGATGGAGCACCACCCCATTGGCATCTCGGGTTTAAAGCTTATCTGAATGAAAACGTGCCTCAGCGATGAATTGGGAGGAGAGGTGCTAAAGACTTTGCTCTCTGTGCTTGGCCTGCCATATCCCCAGACCTCACTGTGTGTGACTTTTTCTTGTGGGGGTATGTTAAAGACCAAGTTTATGTTCCAGCACTTCCAGCAAGTATCGATGACTTGAAAAATCGAATAACAGCTGCAATCAACACGGTGGACCTTGACATGCTGAGGCACGTTTGGGAGGAATTCTCATATCGGCTTGATGTTGTCCACGCTGCCAGTTTTATACATGCTAGAGGTTTGTCATTTTTTTCGTTTTTGACACATCACGTGATGATTTTGGCGTATTCTTTTTGAAACACCCTGTATGTTAACTAAGGAACTAGAGAAGGGACAAAAGAAATTATTATAAGATACATTTTTTTAATCATTTGATCCCAAGCAAGCCAATAATAAGGAGGCATGGTGGAGTAATGGATAGTGGCTCGGATTGAGGAATCAGAGAGCTGAGTTTGAATTCCAGTTGAATCCATTACATTCACTTACGTGCTAATAACCTTGGGAAGGGTATGAATCCTCTTCTTTTCCCCTCAGCTAAGGGTAAATAGCAGGACAGATCAGGTTCTATAGCCTTGGATGACAACTGGTCTACCACAGAATGAAATGGCAACCTACTGCAGGGGAAAAAAATATCTGTCTCGTCAGTCATATATCAAAAGATACATGATCTCCTAAGCATGTATCACACATGGCACATAACTGACTGACCGAAGCCAATAATGTCACTAAGATACAAGGGGTTAATGAGAATGAAAGAAATTGAGAAGACATTAGTGAGATTTTTTTTTACAATAATGCTTACTCTGTATAAGCACCAAGAGCCACTCATGCTAGAGGGTTACAGAGTAAGAGGCATAGTTTTAGGGGATATGTGGGGAAGAGAACTGTTAAGCCTACATTTGAGCAAGTTCAGATTGTAGTGATTAGGGAAGCATCCTCTTAGGAGTTGGTTCCGTAAAGCAGTGGTTTGTGAATAGGACAATAAAAAGAACAGGATTCAGGCGGACAGAAAATGGCAATTGATGTTGCATTTAAAATTTTGAAGATCATAGGTTGCAGGGTAACAAGAAACCAGAAGAAAGTTCCATAGGCAAGAGAATAAACTATTAGAACTCGTGGTTACATCTAGCTCTTTCAAAACAATGGGGGGGTGTAGGTGGTGTTGTGATTATCAGTGCAGAAAGTGGAATCAGAAAGCCAAGTTCAAACCCCATGCATTAAATAGCTAGATGCAATAGGTTCTTTAGCCTTGGATGGCAGTCAGTTTAGGAAAAGAATTAATCTGAATAAAACAATGAAAAATGTGACAGGAAACCATTCTGCTATCTTTTACCAAGTCATGGCAATTCACAGATAATAAGGAAAAGGATGCAGTGGAGAGTCATGATCACCTACATCCTAAAAGAACATGGCATTTAAAAATTTAACTTAGTTATATCTTATAATCTGCTTCATTTGATACAATGACATTTTCCCAACATAATTGTAATTAGAACATTATTTTAAGTGGCCGAAACGTTGTAATAAATATGGCGACAAAGATGAGGACAATAGTCTGAATAATGTAAATAGTGAAGTGAAGTGGCTAATAGATTGGTATCTAGTAGCACACATTAAAAAAGCACATGTAAATTGGTATCTTTTACTGTTGAAATAGTTAAATATAACTGCCACTTCTACTCTAAAAGTTTCTTTGCTCGCATTTCCCACCACTGGAACTCCCCTTCTGTTGCTTACTTCCCTGAAAACTATCTTCAAAAATTTAAACACAACATCAATCGCTATCTTCTGTCATCTTGAAACCCATTCATTTTTTTATCCTTTCCTTAATCACCCCCTACACCCAGTCCTTTCACTCTTGGTAACTCCCTGTGGCATTTCCACCTTGTTTAAGGTGAAATGACTTTTTTTTTTTAAAAAAAATAAAAAGAAGAGTGTTAGAAATGAAATATTGGATTTGCACTTCACACCACAAGAATTACTTCTTGTATTCAATTGCAGGCATGGTTGGAGCTAAACATCAACAGGCTATAATAAAAATTCATAAAAGACAAATGCCTTACCAATGTTTGAAAGTGCTCAAAAATGACCGAAGCCACCAAACACTAGTGGCAGGTCTGTACACCGACCCAGGAAATATGGAATCGGTGATGATCCACCTGTACTACAGTTTTAACCAATCTTCTATTTTTTTTCATCAATATCTCTTCCGTTTATGATCACCTTTTCCCAATAGATTAAAACATAGAATCTGGCAATTTTAAAATACCATCAATAATGATATTAATCATATGCACTTTGCCTTCCCTTGAGTAATGGTTAACAAGCTATATTGGTTTGTGTAGTAAGTTTGGTCCTAATTTTATGGCCTTATATCAGACTAAACTCTATCAACAGATACTAAGAATACCATGTATAGAACAAGTGATTAACAAGAAAATCTTAAAAATAAATCAGAAGTAAAAGTTGTCATATCCTTACAATTAGAAAGAGACAGCTGAACTTTCAGGGATGTTTAATAACAAAAGAGGGACTAGATACTTTCAGAAACTAAGCAAAGTATTAAGAGATAGAAAAATTTCTCTCAAAACAAAAATTACAAACCTGTTATGTAATATCTCATCTGGTGAAGGCTGAACAAATTCCTCAGAGATGAAAAGACTTGAAGCATCCGAGATTTGGTGTGACTCATAAATGCTGTTGATACTATGGACCATGGCCAGTGAAAAGATTCTTTTGGGCCCTCATCAAATCTATGATACGTCCCCTGAATCTTTGATATGAGGACCCCATTCTACTACATCTCAATTTTTCATAAGATAGTATTCAAATAAAATACACATTTTCTTATAACCTAATTATATACAATAATGGATCATATGCAATATAGGTGAACAATTCAACTAGAAAAATTCAAAATAAATACAATGTGTCTAAATGCATTGTAACGAAATAGGACCTAGAGAATTTTCAGAAATT